CAAGGACAAAGTTCTTTGTCTCCACAGACTCCTAAGTGCACCACTCACTCTTTTTCCCTCATCAATTTATGATTCACCTCATCTTCATAGACCATCCGCTGCACGTCCACCCCCAAATATCTGAATACTTCCCTCCTCCATACCTCTCCCTCCAATCTGATATTCAATCTTCATCACCTAATCTTTTTTTATCCCTCATAACCTTACTCCTTTCCTGATTCACCTTAATTTTCTTCTTTTGGCACACCCTACCAAATTCATCCACCAATCTCTGCAACTTCTCTTCAGAATCTCCCAAGAGCACAGTGTCATCAGCAAAGAGGCAGCTGTGACAACTCCCACTTGTGTGTGATTCTTTATTTTTTAACTCCACGCCTTTTGCCAAGACCCTCGCATTTACTTCTCTTACAACCCCATCTATAAATATATTAAACAACCAGGGTGACATCACACATCCTTGTCTAAGGCCTAAATTTTACTGGAAAAATTTCCCTCTTTCCTACATACTCTAATTGGCCTCACATCCTCTAAAAACTCTTTAACTGCTTTCAGTAACCTACCTCCTACACCATACACTTGCAACACTGCCACATGCCCCCTATCCACCTGTCATACTCCTTTTCCAATCCATAAATGCCAAAAGACCTCTTTACCTTATCCCAAATACTGTCACTTATATGTTTCACTGTAAACCCTGGTCCACAACACCCCCTACCTTTCCTAAACCTCCTTTCATCTGCTATCCTATTCTCCTCTTATCTTAATTCTTTCAATTATAACCTACCCTACACTTTACCAGGTACACTCAACAGACTTATCCCCCTATAATTTTTGCACTCCCCTTTTATCCCCTTTGCCTTTATACAAAGGAACTAAAGCATGCTCTCTGCCCAATCCTAGGTAACCCTTTCCCTTTCCATAAAATTTATTAAATAATTGCACCCAAACCCCTCCAAAACTATATCCCCACCTGCTTTTAACATTTCTATCTTTATCCCATCAATCCTGCCTGCTTACCCCCTTTCATTTTACCTACTGCCTCACGAACTTCCCCCACACTCACAACTGCTCTTCCTCACTTTCCCACAAGATGTTATTTCCCCCTTTCCCTATACACGAAATCCGCTCCTTCTTCATCAAAATTTTAAAAATTCCTCAAATATTCCTTCCATCTTCCCAAAACTCTAACTCTCCATTTAATAACTCTCCTTCCTTTTTTTAACTGACAAATCAATTTGTTCTCTAGCTTTTTTAAAATTGTTAATCTCACTCCAAACTTTTTCTTTTTCAACAAATTTGTTGATAACATCTCACCCACTCTTTTTTCATTTGCCTCTTTTACATTGCTTCACCACTCTCTTAACCTCTCTCTTTTTCTCCAATACTCTTCCCTCCTTGCATCACTTCTACTTTGTAAAACTTCTCTAGCTAACTTTTTCCCCTACTACTCCTTTTACAATTTAAACATTCCACCAATCGCTCCTCTTCCCTCCTGCACCCACTTTCCTGTAACCACAACTCTGCGAACCTCAACACTACATTTTTAAACCTACCCCATACCTCTTCGACCCCATTGCCTATGCTCTCATTTGCCCCTCTATCCTCCAATACCCGTTATATCTACCCTAACTGCCCCCTCTTTTAGTTTATAAACCTTACCTCTCTCTCCTGATGCTTCTAAATTTTCCCCTTGTATCCCATCTACCTTTTACTCCATGTAGCTACAACTAAAAAGTTTATCTGATATATCTGTGGCCCCCTATAAACATTTTAAAATCTGAAGTCTACTCAACATCTTTTATCTACCAATACATATCCAACAAACTTTCTGTCATTTCGCCCCAACATCATATCGTGTATACCTTTTTTATCCCTTTTCTAAAAAGTTATTACCTATAACTAAACCCCTTTCTATACAAGTTCATCAAAGGGCTCCCCTTATCATTTAACCTGGCACCCAAACTTACCTACCACCCCCCTCTCTAAAAGTTTCTCCTACTTTAGCATTCAAGTCCCCTACCCAATTACTCTCTCACTTGGTTAAAGGGCTCCTAACATTCATTTAAAACATCTCCCAAAATCTCTCTCTCTCCCTGCATTCCTCTCTTCTCCAGGTGCATACACGCTTATTATGACCCACTTCTCGCATCCAACCTTTACTTTAATCACATAATTCTTGAATTTACACATTCATATTCTCTTTTCTCCTTCCATAACTGATCATTTTAACATTACTGCTACCCTTCCTTTGCTCTAACTCTCTCAGATACCCCAGATTTAATTCCCATTTATTTCCCCCCACTGAAACTCTCCTACCCCTTCAGCTTTGTTTCGCTTAGGGCCAGGACATCCAACTTCTTTTCATTCATAACATCAGCAATCATCTGTTTCTTGTCATCCGCACTACATCCACGCACATTTAAGCAACCCAGTTTTATAAAGTTTTTCTTCTTCTCTTTTTTAGTAATTGTATACAGGAGAAGGGGTTACTAGCCCATTGCTCCCGGCATTTTAGTCGCCTCATACGACACGCATGGCTTACGGAGGAAAGATTCTTTTCCACTTCCCCTGGACAATAGAAGAAATAAAAAAGAGCAAGAGCTATTTAGAAAAAGGAGAAAAACCTAGATGTATGTATATATATATTGCATGTGCGTGTCTGTGAAGTGTGACCAAAGTGTAAGTAAGGAGTAGCAAGATATCCCTGTTATCTTAGCGTGTTTATGAGACAGAAAAAGAAACCAGCAATCCTACCATCATGCAAAACAGTTACAGGTTTTTGTTTCACAGTCATCTGGCAGGACGGTAGTACTTCCCTGGGTGGTTGCTGTCTACCAACCTACTACCTCCATATATATATATATATATATATATATATATATATATAATATATATATATATATATATATATATATATAATGTCGTGCCGAATAATCGTCTAGTTTGGCCTATTTGGCAAGGGTTCACTTTGCCGAATAAACCGAATTAAAATTTGTTTTTTCTATAAATCGATGTGAGCATTACGAGAAAAATATATATCATTGATTTTAAGGAATGGTAAATAAATTTGAATTAACCTTTGATGTATATATACAGAGAGAGAGGGAGAGAAAGATAATATATATAGTTTGTTCATACTATATATACAACAATGTTCTCTCGCTGTATGTACATTTGCTCTCAGTGTTTGTTCGAAGCTTTCTCCTACTGTATAATCAAGAGAAGACGACAGAGACAGTTGTTGATACAAGGTGTGCTTATAATGTTTGTACAAGGGTTCAGTTAACATTGTATGATATAAACACAGCCTCGCCATCTACAAGCAGCACCGAGAAGGTAGCATAAATAACAGTATATCTATTGAACAAACAGCCCAGAACAAAAGTATGTAATGTATTAGTATTGTTCGATTATGCCAGAGACGAGGCGACAAATAATACCTCTAAAAGTAGCAGATTATAGACTCACACTGGACTTTTTTTGGTAGCAGAATGCTATTTTAACCGTTAAAGTAAGTGTTATGATATAGCTCCTGGACCATCAAATTCTCCCGGGCAGGCTCTCATAAATAAAATTGCTAATGGAAATAAGTAGATCCTCGCTGATATGCCTGATTGATAATACCATCAAGAGAAATGCTACGAATAGCAACAAAATGTTATATAACAGATGGTCTCGTAAAGATACTTCATGTGTTCCATTAATAACTGTGACAGCTGGCCTGACGTTTCCTGTCACTTCCGCCAGGCTCTCCCTGTTACTTTTTACGGTACAGTTACTCCCACCACTGTACCGCCAGCTCCGTGACTCCTTTTTTTTTATACTCACATTTTGAACGTGGTTTCTTGTTTTCTGTCAACTTTAACCGTCAATCCTTCGATGCCACCCTTCCCCTGCCACCATCCTTCCACCCATCCCAACCCTCCACCTCAAAACCATTCATACATGTTTATTATTATTATTATTATTATTATTATTATTATTATTACATTCATGAAGTGCTAAATCCTTAACCGTCATAGAGCGAGTGCAGGTCTAGCTTTAGCGATACAAGTGATCTATTCTGGGGATCAAAGTGTTTATCTCGCACGTAATGATGTCAGTCATTCTTGGTCATTCTCGGAAACGTTTTCCTTTAATTGGGAAATCTTACTTCCCATTTTCCATGTGTTGTCTGATCCTTACATGTTTAGAGTTCCAGGAAAATATAAAAATATTTTAATTCTGAAAAAAAAAAAATTGGAATCATTACACTACGTTCCAATGTTAGTAATAATTTAGGCTCACCGTCGAAAACTAAAATCGGATACAGGTGGGAAGATTAATATTGAATTGGACACATACGAAAAAATATTTTTTACGTGGAAATACAAAGGAAATATTGTAATAAAAATATAACATAGTATCCTATTCTTGCCACAACAGTATTCAGGACGTGGAGAAAATATTCCTAGAAATTCTTAGAAGACACACAATAGGGGCTCCATCAACAGTTTGCACCTATGATACTGTACACTGAATTCTTCCTAAGGGGATTACATTGATAATGTGTGTGGGGGGGGGGGAAAGGGGTTACTGAACCGGTGGAGAAAATATTAAGACAATACCGGTAGCAGTTGTCACTAAGTATTACACTTGGGATATTACCAAACTTTTGTCATCTTCGTTGTAGATTGCATGACTGAATATTTAACGCAAATATTTTCCTGCAACCTTTAAAGTATGTGTCTGTCTTGCGATTAGCGGAAGGCTGTTCGAGCCTCCACTGCTCGTGGTGTTGTACACATCGTACGGGGTTTATCGTGTGTGTTATTAAGTATAAGAATAACAATAATAATACTAAAAATAATAATGAAAAAGTGCAAAAAATTACCGACAAAATATTTGGTAAATGTACAAAGTTGCCATTAATGTGACATTTTATTGTGGTATCAGTGTCCATTTACATAAGAGTAGACGGTAATGTTCATTTAGACTGAAACAAGATATGGTATACTTACCTCATCCCACGCCATACGTCGACATTTGAGAGAGAAGTTTCTGAAGTTCTGCTTGCCTACGTTCTTCCTCTGGGAGTCACTGTTGCTACGGATCACAGGAAGCTTGCCAGCTCCAAGCCTCATCCTGGAAGGTGACGCCATCATTGTGATGCAGGGGAGGAGGTCAGGAAGTACCTCACTCTACCCTGCTCCACCTGGAGTGAAGATGTTCTTCTAAGGCAGGATGACTTTGCTTGTTGGTGCTTCTTTTATGCGTTAGAGAGACTGTAGGTGTAAAGGAAGAGTATGAAGATTACCTTAAGGCAAAAGTTTTGCCCTGTTGTTTGTCACTAGTGCTTATTGTTCCATCAGTCTCTACCGAACATTGATTTTCAGCAGGTCTAACATAGTAAAGTGTTTGCATTACATAATGGTTACTTTCACGAGTGTGTCTTTAATGTAACACTGTCAGTACAACTCTACTTACACAAACAATTAACCTCTTGTGTATTAATTCACTCGCAAGGGCTTACACTTCATTTATTTATATTAGCAAATTGCTCAGATGTCTCCAGAGTTTGCATATACTTATAGAAAGAAAGATTTATAGGAAATTTTCGTTACACTCACTTCACAATAATACTCATTTTTCACCGCCATACGTACACATGTCTTGGCAAATCACTTTTTTCCGAGTGGCAACTATTCACAGCTTTCACGCTGCGTCACGGTATACGAACGTTCGTCAAAATTGTCTAACCTGATATTTGCTAACGCTTCTGAAACATCTGTTAAAATTCATAAAGTGTGTGATATTAAAGCAATAACACAAAAAGGAAATACTATACTTGAATTTTGCAAAAACACTTTTAATCATGTTATGACTCATGCTCCTCCATGCATATAATTTATAAAACTCTGGGAGGCCACGTAATGGCTCAGGGAATTTTGTATTTCATGAGAGTGCAGCCATCCCCCTCCTTCCCTCCTTACTCTTTCCCACCTTCCTATTTAAGTCACACTTCTTCCCTCCATCCCCTCGATTCAATTCTCTCTCCTCTCTCTCTCTCTCTCATTCATAATATATATATATATATATATATAATATATTAAATATATATATATATATATATATATATATATATATATAAATATATATTATATATATATAATATATATATATTATGCATAAGATCACAGTAAACGGGTGATTTCAGAATATGCAAAAAAATCCTCGGAAAAAATAGAAAAATTTCCCAAAGGTTTTCCTGACTACTCACATTAAAAGGGAACTATGAAAGTAAAGCACCCAAAAGGAAGGTTTTTAAAAGGGGGTTTCCGGGCCCAAACCACCTCCTATCAGACCCCAAAAACCGGTTTAAACCCCTAAACGCGCCCCGGCCCCAAATGGACAGGCCCTTTCAAAAACCCACCATGGAGTCCCCAAATCACCACAAACCCCCAAAACCCCTGGAAACCATGGCGCCAAAACCCCCACAACCAAAAATCCAAACCCTGGCCCCATGGAGTAAACCACTCAAAAACACTACCTTAAAAACCCTTTTGGCACCTTTGGGAGTCCCCCATTTACAACTTTTACCCCAACCCTGGCCCCATGGAGTCCCCATCCCAACACTACCCCCAAAACCCCCTGGCCCAGGGAGTCACCCTCACCCCCAAAACCTCCGCCCGGGGCACCAGGGGAGTAAACCCCACTCAAACACTACCCCAACCCTGGTACCATGGCGTCGAAATAAAAACACTAAACCCAAACCCCCCCAAAAAGGGAAAGTAAACCACTCACAGCACTCCCTTAAACCCTGGCACCAGGGGTTTCCCCCACTCAAAACACTCCCTCCAACCCTGGCCCAGGGAAAGTCCCCACTACAAAAACTAAATCCAACCCGGGAACCATGGAGTCACCACTCACAACACTACCAAAAACCCCTGGCACCATGGGGGTCACCACCCCAACACTAACACCAACTCTGGTCCCATGGATTTGGGACCACTCAAAAACAAAAATTTCCCCAACCCTGGAAACAGGGAGTCACCCCCTCACAACATACCTCCAACCCTGTAAACCATGGAGTCATCACTCACAACACTACCCCCAAACCCCCGGGGCCCCCAGGGATTTCCAACCACTCCAACACTCCCTGCACCCCTGCTATCGATGAACCACCCCCAAAGCACTACCCCCAACCCGGGCCCCCCGGGCACCATGGGGTGCCCCCTGCAACACACCTAAAAACCCGGGCCCACTTGGAGGTAAACCCTTAAAAACCCCTACTTTCCCCCTGGCACCATAGTCTCCAGTCATAACACTCCCCCAAACCCTGGCACCATGGAGTACCATTTACAGCACAACCCCACCCCGGGCCCCAAATGGATTTTCACCACTCACAACATACCTCCAACCCTGGTACCATGGCGTCACCACTCAAAAACACTACCTTCAAACCTGGCACCATGGAGTCCCCCACTCAAAAAACTACCTCCAACCCTGGTACCATGGCGTCCCATTTCAAAATTTTTAAACCAAAACCCCGGGCCCCAGGAGCCCCCTCCCCAACACAAACCTTCAACCCTGGCACCATGGAGTAAACCACACACAGCAAAACCCTTCCGGGCCCTGGCAGCATGGAGTCACCACTAAACAACACTACCCCCCCAAACCCCGGTTACCATGGCGTCCCCATTTCCAACACAAAATCCAAACCCTGGCACCATGGGTCCCCACTCACAACACTACCTTAAAACCCTTTGCACCAGGGAGTCCCCCACTCAAAAACCACTACCCCCAAAAACCTGGTACCAGGCGTCACCTCTCACAAAAACTAAACCCAAACCCGGGCCCATGGCACCACTCAAACACTCCCTTCAACCCTGGAAACCATGGATTTCACCCTCACAACACAAACTTATCCCTGGCACCATGGAGTCACCCCTACCAACACTACCCCAAACCCGGGGGCACCATGGAGTCACCACACACGGCACAACCCCCAAGCCCTGGAAACCAGGGGATCCCCACTCACAAAATTACCTCCAACCCTGGCCCATGGGGGCCCCAAATCACAGCACAACCTCCAGCCCGGGCACCTTTGGATTCCCACCCCACTACCCCCAAACCCGGGTACCATGGAGTCACCACCCCCAAAAAATTTATTTTCCAACTCTGGTGTCAGGGCCCGCCCACACTCAAAACCCTTATTTCCCAAAACCCGGGAAACCATGGAGTCACCACTCACAACACAAACCTCCAAACCCTGGCCCCACGGAGTCATCACTCGCAACCTACCCCCAAAACCCGGGCACCTTTGGATAAACCCATCACAACATTACCCCCCAAACCCGGGGCACCGGGAAAGTCACCACTCAAACCTCCTCCATCCTTTGGAACCAGGGAAGAACCACCCCAAACCCTCAAACCTTAACTCTGGTACCATGGAGTCACCACTCACAGAAATACCCCCAAAACCAACCCCCCCCCATGAGTGCCACTCCAAAACTACCTCAAACCCCCGGCCCTGGGCATATGGATTGACCCCTAAAAACCCCTTTCCCCCAAAACCCTGGCACCGGGAAAGGGGACCCCTCACAACATTTCCCCCAAAACCCTGAAACCAGGGGTCCCCACTCCCCAAACACTACCCCAAACCCCTAGAAAACCATGGGGGGAAAACCACTCCCAACATACCCGAACCCGGGCCCCTAGCACTATGGTTTGACCCCTCACAACACTTCCCCCAAACCCGGGGCACCTTTGGGAGTGACCCTCACAACATTCCCCCAAACCCCCGGGCACCATGGAGCCCTTTCCCCCCCCACTTACAACACTCCCAAAAAACCCTGGCCCCATTCACCCTCACAACACTCCCCTCAAACCCGGGGCCCCATGGGTCCCCCTTTTCACGCAAAACCCTCCCCCCGGGGCCCCAAATGGAGTCACCACTCACAAAAACACCCCCAACCCTGGTACCAGGGAGTCACCACTAAAAAACACTACCAAAAACCCTGGTACAAGGGCGTCACCATCACAACATAAACCCAAACCCTGGCACCAGGATTTCCCCCCCCCCCCTCGCAACACTCCCTTTAAACCCCTGGCACCATGGGTCAAAAACCCCCAAAAACTACCCCCCTACCCGGCACCATGGAGCCCCACCACCCTGGCAAAACCCTTTTCACCCCCGGGAAACCATGGGGGCCCCAAACCTCAAACACTACCTAACCCTGGAAACCCCATGGGTAAACCCTCACAAAAATTTACTTAAACTCTCTGGGGGCTGGCGTCAGAAATCAAAACCCCTTTAAACCCAACCCTGGCAAAAATGGGTCACCACCACAACAAAATATTTCCCAAACCCCGGGCACCGGGAGTCACTACTCACAACAAAAACCCCCAAACCCCTGGCACCGGAGTCACCACTAAACAACATTTACCTCCCCCCTTTGGCACCATGGAGTCATCCCACAACAAAACCCCCAACCCGGGACCCCAATGGAGTCACCACTCACAAAACTACCTCCATCCCTGGTCCCGGGCGTCCCCATTCACAACAAAACCTTTAAAACTCTGGTCCCATGCAGTCACCACTACCAACACTACCTTAAAACCCTGGTACCATGGAGTCACCAATAACAGAAATTACCTTAACCCAAGCACCATGGAGTGAAACTCAAACCCCCTACCCCCAAGGGGGGCCCCACGGCCCATGGAGTGCCCCCTCAAAAACCCGACCTCCAACCCTGGCCCCTTGGAGTCCCCAAACTCAAACCCCCTACCCCCAACCATGGAACCATGGGTCCCCCACTTAAAACCCACTACCATAACCCGGGGCACCCATGGAGTCCCCATTTTAACCCCACTATTTCCCAAACCCTGAAACCATAGTAAACCCCCCTCACAACACAAACCCCCCCAAACCCGGGTTTCCATGGGTCCCCAACCCCACAAACCTACCCCAAAACCCCGGGTACCATGGCGTCCCACTCAAAACATACCCCCAAACCCCCATGGCACCATGGGTCACCACTCCCAACATTTAACCCCCAAACCCCTGGCACCAGGGTTTCCCCCACTCACAACATATTTCCAACTTGGTGTTTTGGCCCGTCCCCCTCAAAACCCTTTAAAAAAAAACCCTGGCCCAATGGAGTCCCCACTCACAACAAAACCCAAACCCTGGCCCCAAGGAGTAAACCACTCACAACACAACCTTCAAACCCTGTCCCCTTGGAGTCCCAAATCACTTCCCAATACCCCCCAACCCTTGGCCCCTTGGAGTCCCCAAATCCAACATACCTTCACCCGGGCCCAAATTGGAGTCCCACTCGCAACCAAAACCTTTCCAAAATCCTGGTACCATAAGTCTCACTCACAAACCCCCCCCCCCCAAAACTACCCCCAACGGGGGTTTACCATGGAGTAAACCACTCAAAACTACCCCCAACCCTGGCCCCTTTGGAGTACCCACTCAAAAACACTACCTCCAACTTTTGTCCAGGGAGGGACCACAACAACACTACTTCCAACCCGGGCCCCGATGGAGTCATCACTCAAAAAACCTAAATCCCCCCCTTTGGCACACATGGAGTCACCACTCCCAAAACCTATTTCCCAAAAACCCCTGGTACCAGGGAAAGTGACCACTCACAAACTATTTCCCAAAACCGGGGAAACCATGGAGTCACCACTAAACCAGCACAACTCCAACTCTGGTCCCAATGGATTTGACCAAACTCACAAAACTACTTCCAACCCAGGCACCAGGGAGTCACC